GCGCAAGAGCCTACGCAATCTCTAACCAGGTGACAGCTCAGAGGGACTAGCAAACCCCTCAAGCTTATTCAGCAATAATTTGAAGATCAGGACCGCCTATTGGCTGTATTGTGGTCACCACTTCAAGGTCATTCCACCCATGATACAATGCCTACACTATAAATTTAATTTACTCATGGGACGGTGGCCACAATTGCTCCATCCCTGACAAGACAGTGGGCCATCATTTGCAGTTTGGTAGAATGAATGAGACTACATGTTTAGTGGATGTTTAGTGGCATACATCCACCGTCTCATCCACCGATTCCTCACCAGTTTACCATAATTTGTGCTTTCAAAAACAATTTACTTATATCTCAAATTTTAATGTATATTTTGAGTGTGATGGCATCAACGTGGTTGGCATGTACAATTATCTATTGATAAGCAAAGTGGAAGGCATGGTGAGATAATGCCGAGGAATGGCTTATACTTCGGTTCCAGATACACAGACGCGAATCTTCAAGCGTACGTAATCTAGTCTACACTAGAGCTCAGACAAAACACGCATGGTTCAGTGCCTCTCCAAGAGAATGCAAGACAAGGTCTCGTGCAGAGAGCGTCCATCGCCTCAACAAGTCCACGTAGGTTCACTTATACTTGTAGTGGGTGACCTTGAATGCGGGCAAGAGAAGGTGTGCACTCAAGAGTGCATGGACGAATAGGAAGAAAGCGGGGAATATGAATTTGAAGATTGGTGTGCATAAGCATGGCAGATACTGAAAAGGGAAAATTGTAAATATTTTAAAAGATGTGGTCCAGGAGACGCTGAATTCCCAACAAGTCCATGGGTCCATCATGGCAAATTCGTGGAGCTTCGTTGAGGAAAGGCGTTGCACATCAGCCAACGAGTGATGGTGGTGGTGGTTATAAGTTTCAAATTCATTGTTTGTGTGTGATAATTCAGCTTCTATCTTCTTCAACTTAAGCATTAGGTTTCAAGTGAATCTGATTATCCACACTGACATTTGACACGGTTTCACAAATTAGACTTCCTCCATAATGCTTTCAAAAGCGAGCTGATGATTTCTGTATGCACTATCTACCTATAAGCTTCTAAGTAATCATTCCATTTCTAGGGGATTCACTGGTCGTCAACGTGGCTGCATCCGAACGTCCTAACACAGTCTATGTAAGATATGTCAAAGGATGCGTTGACAGCTGTAGAGAACAAAAGCAGAATTGGTTGATTTCCACACCTGTGCAGAGCCCGTGGTTCAGTCGATGACAACAGTGACGAACACCATCCTCGATGTTCTATCCTGCTGGATTCCGCTGGCGTGTGGAGTTCAGTTTAATCCGCACACACGGATCCATATTTTCTGGCTTATTTGCTTCCAGACTTAACTGATACCTCAGCGGTTACAAGCTACCACGTCTGTGGGCATGGTGTTGTGTGATGTCTACGGTAGGCCAGGTGGTTAGAATGAAACTTACGAGAGGAAATCGGTGCGCTGAACCCTAGACCTCATAATAACGTCTGTTATAGTCGGGAAGAATATAATGCACCACTCTAATCAAAAGTGTCTGTTAAATTGTTTGGCTGGATTTGTAGATCACACGTTACTTTCTGTGGCCTCTGCTCTTAACGGTTGCAATTAACTGACCTCCTCTCACAAGTTAACTCGACGGACGTCTTACCAACATGGCACTAATTTCTTTTCAAAATCTGAACTCTATCAAGGCGCACTGTTCTCGGCTCTGCCCACACGCATTCTCAAAAAAATCACATAGACCATTTTGCATAGGTCGTCGCGATACGAATCACACAAGAATTCCCCTTGATTCACGCTAATCAGGGAGAACAATTGTCTCGCGTCAGACGAGAATCGGCTCAAAGCCGTCAGTCTGCATCAAGCACTTATCGAAACAGGGGAGTAGAATCCAGGTACCACGAAATTAAACAACTTCCAACTACAGTGTTTGGCGGAGTGACTGTCTGGTACAGAGCACCCGATGCAAACATGCAAGGCGTCTTTTAATTCATCACTTCACGAGTGTGCAATAACTCCTATCGATTTGCTTCTACTTGCCACCCTGTGGCTAGTGCAGTCGTGCTCACGCCTGCCCGATCCACTGACAACGATATATTCAAATATCACACCAACTAGGCCATTTACCATCACCAACATGCATACTTTGCCTTCTTAGGGCAGACCCTAGTGGCAAATCGACAGAACTTCGTTGACAAATTGCGGAATGCCCATCTACGCGAATGTTGCCGCTTTAGTTAATTAGATGTTGACAGTTTACCTACAAAAAACACTGTCAAATGAGAATGAACGCAAGAGAGGCACGCTTGAATGACGTCATCAGTAAAGTCAATTCAAAGCACTCAGTTCCGTCTAGCACAAACCACAACATTTCCTCATGCATTATTCGGTATGGCTGTGTCGTGGACCCAAGTTTCTTGAAGTCTGGTCAGCGCCGATTTTGTCATTCTTCACGCCATTCACCTAACCACGCCACCAGTGCGTGAGGCATCCACAGCAGCCTCCTCAAAGCTCATCCATGTTAATCCGCCTTCATCCATCACGTCGATTTACTCCAGAATAATACATGTTGAAACATTTCCACATGTCACTCGGCCTGTGGCTGAGACAATAAAGCATCTCTGTACGAGGCCTTGTCTGTCGTGAACTAGCGTGGGGGGAAAGGGTCCAGCGTCGGACGAGTGAACAGGGGTACACACCATCTGATTGTCAACCTTTGTTACGGTGTAAGCGTGCCTGTCTGATTTCGAAGAGTTCATTGATGGACCCTATTTGTTAGCAGAATCAGGACGCCGTACTTAAGCTAAAACAGTTGATGTTACTGCTGTTAGCGTCACTCTGGTCTCAGAGCCAGTTCATTGATACACAATCTACGCCATCTGCATAGAGCCTTTCAAATCCAGTGAGATGAAACGGACTTTGTCTATAGTGAACCTATTCAACAATATCAAAATAATAACTATCAAGTTGGCCTTGGTTCACCGCGACTACACCCACATGCCCATTCACAATTCCATGATTAAAGGTCCAACTAGAGCTACTAAAGCCTAACTACTTCCTAACGCTGTTCGTTCACGACTGTTAACTGTGCTCGCTTGCTGCTCGCCACAAACATAAAGTTTACTCAAGAATGTACAGATTTGGCATATTTCGGGCTTCTAACAGCCCTTGCACCATTCCATCACACACGCCACTACAGAAATCCACACATCACCAATCACGGTCTCTACTGTGCCAATTACTGAGCCCTGAGTAAGGCTACAGTTCGGACCACAATATCTACACCAAACACATTCACAACTAGCCTTGGCCACAGATGTCGTATACATTTTTCTACAACCAGAACTCGTCGGACTTTATCAACCAACACCGCTTGTCCCAGGAGGCTTACCCACAACTGCTTCACTTCGCCACTATGACTTCTGGTGTTTGAAATGCACCACACAACTACTGACGATTCAGTTGGGACAGAAACAATTGCGTCACCCACCGAATGACCGCAGTTTGAGATTCGAAGCAGGTTTCTAATTCTGACTTTCTCAACCCCACTAGGATCGATATAACACGCTACTACTCGCACACCGCGCCACCGTGCTTACAAAAAAAGCGAATATACACTTTCACAAAGCCACTTTGGCTGCATGCAACTCGCTTGGTCAGACAGCGAAAGAACAGAACGACGATTGCTTATTTGAAAGCTCGACCATGTCGTCGTCTGTGTGTGCCCGTGTTTCGCGTGTTTGATTGCTTGGACGTGTAAATTTACCACCTAGAAGTGTGAAACAGTGTGAGCCTTAAAGGTGCCAGCATCGAGACCTACGTGAACGTTGCCACACACGCGAAGTTGTAACCCCGGGTGCTCGTTTGCCGTAACGGAGCGTGTTGAGGTTCCGCTCACCTGGCGACAAGTTGTGAAATGTGTATCGGAGAATGGAGCCACGGTGTTGACTGGCGTGACCCGAAGTAATTCTCAAGAGCTCTCTGTTGGGGATCCATGAATCTTCAACAGTGCTCGTCGTTGGATTATGGCACTATTTACACTAGTTCACTAACATGTATTTTATTACCCTTTTTACCAGGTCAAGATCAACCTTGACTCGAATCAGTTGAACTTTTGACAGCTCACTCCGCACGTAGCTGACGTGATTTAAGTTCTCTAAACGAGCTCTGGTCTTGTTCTCGCATTAGCGTGGTTAGGTCGGTGCTGGCGTCAACAAGGGATTTGCTACCATTATTTGATTGGATTTCTTTTTGTTACGGGCAAACGTAACACTCTCACAATTCGTGAAGCTATTTGGTGAAACGTTACTTCCAACAGGAACACTGAATGGTTGGCTGTGGACTTTGTGCAATTAAGAAGCGGCTGCTGAAGAGGATTGTACTGAAAATGCATCAACTACGAGTGGCTGGGGGAACGTCTGTTGAGAGTCGAGAACCAAGGTTCATCGCTTGTGATTGACGTCATCCTGTGCCCAGCAATATGTTCTCCCCAGAAGTAGTGTAACGATGGGCCAAGGAACACGTCTGCCAGAGTGTGCAATGGCAACCACCTCCAAACTGCCGCAAGAGACGGGAGTTGGCAAACCTGAGGCCTGTTGTTCGCCTGCGTCTCAACATCGAAGGTAACTCTTGCTTTATTCGAAAATTCGGCAGATGCGGAATTCTCTTTCCTCTACGTGGTAAACTGAGAAGACATTATCTTCTAGTCAGAGTACTTTGAAATATCCATTCTGCGTAGATTGAAGTGGTTGATAAATGCCATCGCGTCTGATGAAACCGCGAGTGCATGAGGATACCTCTTTCTCTCTTATTGATAAAGGATAAGGTAGATGCGGTTGAACATCGGGGAACTGTCCATACCATCACAAACACACAACTCGATTATTAGAGCAGGCAGTGTAGTCGACGCGTGTCCTCACTCTCCCGAGATGTCGCGTGTCTGTACCAAAAAGTCACGCAGGTGTTCTCAGAAGGCCGCTGCATCAGTGTCGAGAGCGAAGAGGCCCTTAACAAAGACAATTAATTGCCTTTCTTAAAGGTGTGGAATGGTCTTTTTGAGGAGCTGCAGCAGCCGTTGATGGATGCACTGCACATTTACTTCGGCGGGAACGGAAACGTAGGGATTGTCGCCTCCCAGCGCCACGGTTATCACCCCCTCCTCAACCATCCGCAACATGCAAGCCAACAAGGATGCCTCCATAGTGAATTCTTAATTGAATAAAAAAAATAACCGTAACAACCTTAAGCCGATTGAACACATTTGTAGAGAAAGCAGGGCACTGGGAACTCACTGCCAGTTTGGCATCTGTTGGTGACAACGCCAAACACATGCTGCCTGATGTCCACGTAAAAGTTGTGGAAGAAGAGCTGCTGATTGTCCGAAGTCGTCTTGGCCATATTCTCGAGCGTGGTGTGCAGGATGCCAAGTCCGGTTTCGGACACCTGGAAGTTGACGAGAAAGTGGTTTCAGTGAGCTGCTGACTTGCTCTATGTACTACTTCACAGACTAGCCAAGCAGACAACTGGTTTGGTAGACAAAGCATGTCTCGATAACCTGGCAACACAGACTACATCCTAATTCTCATTACGACTCTATTCTTTGTCAAATAGGAATCAAAGAGCCAAGCAAGATACCTGTCTCGTGGTGTGTCTAATGGCCCAGATCAGGCTTTCGAGAAGGAGCTTAAATTGATCCGTATTTAGGGCAAGCGAAGCAGTGAAACAGCTGGCGTTGACGGCTTGTAGGAGTGCGAAGAAATTAGTGCGTTGTTCTGGATACTCTTCCAGGTCCTTGCTAATCATCTGCAGAGCGCAGTGGAAGACGGGATCAAGGATGCGAGGTAGAGAGGTAAGGTCGTCTTCGCCTAGCCGTTTAACGATTGTCGTCATGGTGATGAGTACCTCGGGATCGCGTGCGATGGGAGGACTCCGTCGGTAGTAACTGGCGACGCTTACCAAAATCGGGAATACATATATTTCAAGCCAAAAAAGTGTGAATTAAACGCCATGAATCCGAATTCTGCATTTCGTTTCTCCTAAAGCAAAGCAGACAAAATGATTAGGCCTCAATTTCTTTACTCAGATCGAGCGACCGCCTAGCCTACTGGCAATTTGATTGGTTGGTGTAATTGGTCGACCCTCCTCCTCCAACGCTTCTCCTCCTCCTTCACCACTGTGCGTAACTGCTTCGAAATGGCCACAGCTGTCAGCCGAGCGAGCAAACGCTAGCTCACGCAACTCAAGCGTTCATCTCAAGTGTGGTCTGGCCAAGATCCAATTCTAGGCACACGAGCTCCCCTTGTCAACTGCGTGGCTTAGCAACTATTCTAAAGGGCTACTTCTTCCGCGCATTTTTTCTGTTGGTTATAGGCAAATGACGCCCCCGTGCAAGATCCACCTGCCACCTTGAGTAACAACGTCTCTCAAAACGGTCTCCTCCGCGTAACGAGCAATCAACGTCGCACCTGTGCATCTTGTGGGGCTGTATTTCATGACTATGTCAGACTAGTTCCACGCTCCTCGTCGACGGTGTGTCTTGCACGGGCGGTGTCGACTTTACTGTAAAGCGCCTTAAACCAATCAGGCCGAAGTGACCTTGGCCTCGAGAAGGCAGATTGGATAAGTGCAGTCGAGTTGAGGTGAACAAATCGGAATACGCTGCGTCGACCGTATTATCCACGCTAATCTGTCACTTAGTTTTGACTGACGCCCCAGTGCCCAATCCACTCGTTTTCTGTCACAGCAATCTTCTTTGTGTAAAGAACAATCAACGTTGCACATGCACGTCTTGTTGGGCTGAATTTCATAGCTAAGTTGAGGTGGTTCCACACACCCCTGTCAAGTACCCCTCACAGATGCACCTGGATGTGGTTTAATCACGAACACTAAGTACAAACCACTGCCCTCACCGTCGTTCGTCTTCTAGTAGAAATGGTTTTCCCCGACAACAAAGCCTCGTTAAACTATGCCAACTTGAAATACACCTAATTACCCACAACTGCCTACAGCTGTTGGTGCAGCGTTTGAATAACACCTCCTCATCGAAGCATTTTGAAAACAAAAGAATTCAGAGACGGTAATTAACAACGGCTGATGTGACCAGGAACAGCTGAGACAGCGACACAACTCTTCACGTCAAGTCAATCAGATTACCAGAGGAATTTGAGTCAATGTGAAAAGCAACTAATTACAATCAACAACAACTCGCTTACCTGTGGTGTGAGGAATTGCTGCTGACAATTCTAGGAGAGATTGAGAAAAGTGTCACAAGCCATGTCGCGCAATCCGCTGTCACAATTGTGCATTAAACCAAACACTATCTTGATAACAAGCTTGAAATTGTCTGATTCTGCTCGCAGACACCGGCAGTACTGGCCAAGGACGTACATCGTGTTGCTGGCTAAAGCTACCGGCAGATCCGCACACCGATTGTGCTCATACGGCTTCAGGATCTTCAAGAGCACAATACGGAGGATGTTTCGGGCGTCTTCTTTGAGCACAGCACCCGACACACTGCCAATGACCGCACACCGATTGTGCTCATACAGCTTCAGGATCTTCAAGAGCACAATACGGAGGATGTTTCGGGCGTCTTCTTTGAGCACAGCACCCGACACACTGCCAATGGCCCAGCACAGCGAATTCATTTCCGCCACAGACCATTCTCCACCGCAGACCACACGATACAACTTCATCAGGATCATGCCTGCAGTGCCCTATTAACGGGAAGTAACGGAGCCTATCTAAGTCGACAAATCCAACATTCACGAGGTTACTGCGAAGCTGTATGTGCGACAAGTCTGCATCAACTTGGAATAATAATTCAGTAAAATCATGGGCTTCAATCTAGCTGGTGTCCTGTGTAGGTGTGAAGTGACTGAAAGACCACAGGGGCAGTTGACATCAAAAGGTAAGAAAAATTACAAAACCAATGCCTGCATACTTCATAGTCTAACTGAGTTAGGTAGATTAAAGTCTCATGCATCGTTTTGTGCAGAGCGAGGCTGTCAGCGTCGTCCAGGAATTCTCGATCAACTTCTCCATTACTAGAACTTCTTCAGGCCGAGCCATTCGGGAGAGGAGGATAGTGCGCAGCTGCAAGGCCAAGCACAAGTTTACCATACTGGTAATTCTGCCACTGCGCAATCAACCTGCACGAACCATACAAACGTACCTTCCACATGATTGGTTCATACTCTCTCACTGAAAGTACCCATTGGTGGACACAAAAAGTTTGGGTGTATAACTCACTCGTCAAAAATTTCCAGTACTCGAAGCATATTTTGAGCAGCCCCGCATCTTGGACCTCAGATATGCAAAGCAAGTACCGGTAAACGTCAAACAGGTAGTCAGTAATTCTTCGCGTTCCAATAAGATCATCATGCAATATCAAAAATGAGCAGTAAAATGTTGCCAGATTTAGAATCAAGTTCTGTTCGTCGGTTGTTAATTTGGCATAAACCTCAGGGATTCTTGTGTACAGTGGCAGTCTCTACACGCGATTGTGATGATAATGCAGAGGAAATCAATGCTAACCAACCTCCTTCAGTTTGGACGTTGTCAAATTAAAGAGTTGCGCAAACTTGTCCTCGTTCACACTGGCAGACTGACCAGCTAAAATACTGATTCAGATCACCTGATAAGAGGCTTACCGATTTCGGCCAAACATTTCAACGCTTCGTTTTGCAGAACTCGGACACTGAGGAATCAATGAACAAGGCTTTCGATCAAGTTAGTCTCGAAGATGCTTCCCAGTGGGATCCAGTGCAAGAATCGAAGAAGTGTTTCTAACGTGACGGCAATTAGTGAGACGTTTGTTGAATTCTCGAGCACTGACTGGCACATCTGGCATATCATCCCAAAGTCCTGACACATCGAGTCTTTAAGGTGCTCGGCTTTATTCTGAGTCATTTGTCCCGATGGCAAGTCAAGCACCTCCTCGCTCAGCATCCGCAAAATGATCATTTTGTTGTGAAAGAGTGATTTATTAGTTTTGCCAGAACCCACAATATCCGCAATGACGTTGGGCCACTTCGCGGGCCAATCAACTGTCAAGATCTACAAATTAATCAGGTTAATAGTTTGGCATATTGGCGTACTTCAACCAAGATCAGGTTGAGTTTAGTGAGGCATGCCTTCTCATTTGTCACTCGTTCGGGCTTTGAGGATATCTGAGTGATCAGATCGATGATGTACTTCTTGATAGCCTCGCATTGAGGTCTCGGCAGCACCTTCCACCGAGCCTTTATCAGAGCCTCTAGAATTTCAAGCGCAAAGTACCTGGTGTGTTGAGAGGAACTCAACTTAATAATGCAGTCCACACGCGTCCAGGCATCTGGGTGCTCCTTAAATGCCCTCAATATCTTCTCCGCGAGTTGCTGCTCAGTTCCACTGGAGGTGTACATGGCCTGTACCACCTGGTCAAGGAGCCTGACGTCGAGTGGTTGTGAGAAGTTGAGTATCCGCACGGCCGTATTTACGAGGGGCTAAATTGAAATAATACGCATGCAAAGGAGTTTCGAAAATTCGCCTAATTTACACACCCACTTTGCGGAAAGAGGAAGGGAGGGATAAACGAGAGTTGAGGCCACTGAGAGCAAAACCACTTACAAAATCCAATCTGAGCATGAACAAGACACGTAGCATTGAGCCATACATGACAGGGGAATCTCGCTCGGTAGTTGGGGCTATGACCAACACATGAATTTGAACCCAAAACGAATTGACTAATTTTAATTCATGTCTTGTCTAAATTATTAAATGAAAAGGCATGCAAATCCCATCCAGTTAATAACACACACACACACACACAAACTTAAAATTCAAATTGCAGTGATGATCCTTCACTACCCGACGTACCTGAAGTTTGACAGCACGAACAAATCCTGAGAACTAGATGCGCGACAGTGGATACAATCCTTCATAGGGATCACGACAGCCAATTGTATCTGCGTGCTGTTCGATCACCCACAGGAACCAATGGGGAGTGCGAGAAAGCCATTAGCTCCTCACGGACTCATGAACAGTCTTTGTGCAGAACGTTCACACGCCTACCCAACCCAATGAGTAATGGCTGTGAATCGCAGTTAACACAGGATAGCAATTCGTTGCTCTTCAAATTGACACAAATTCCTCTGGTAATGGGATTAACTTGACGTGAAGAGTTGTGTCGCTGTCTCAGCTGTTCCTGGTCATATCAGCTGTAGTTAATTACTGTCTCTGAATTCTTTTGTTTCCACGATGCTTTGATAATCTATTTGCACCTGCTTTCTCGTCTCAGAATGAGAATTCCGGTAATTTTGTGGAGGAAATCATTGGCGATATGGATTCCATCACTTCCGACCTCAAGCCGCAACAAGTTAAGACATTTTACGAGGCAGTTGTGACCATCATTAGGTCAGAGGTTGATCAAGTCATCGTCTCTGAAATCTGCCGCAGATATTTAGGGAACGCATCACTGTTTAGTATACGACACATGTGTCTGAAGCTCTCACACTGAGTGTTAGAGGACATCCAATGAAATAGTTATTTCAAATCAATGGCTGATGACCAGCTCTAAACACTCGTTCTCATTTCCAGCCTCTATTCACTAAAGTATGCAGATCTTTGGTAGGGGCAACCAGATGAAAACCGCAATGAATACTGTTACTACAGCGGTAAGCGGCACGACTCCAAGCCTGTGGCCGCGGTGGTTCCGAGGTCCATGCAGTCCGCTTTATCACTCAAACAACTTCCACTTCCGGCTCTGCAGCCTCTCGGGAATCACAGTCAGACGTAAGCCCATTTAGCTGGAATAAATGAAGGAAGGCAAAGGACACTTCCTGTTCAGCGTGTTTGCAATGTGGGGCCTAACACTTTGTTAGGTCCTGCCCAAACAATGCCAAGTCATGGGCCACAAAGACAAGTACCGCCAATCTCCGTTGTCCCGGCAAGCACGCTTTGTCAACATAATCGAAAACAGAACTGCTCGACAGCCTTCTTCCATCCAGGTGTCTTGTATTGACTGCACCGCCTACCATTTCGTGCACCTTAACCATCTTGTCTGCCTCTAAGTCCATGCGAACACACATGGACGGAAGTGAATCTGAGCTTGGCCTGATTTAAGTGGCAGCTCTTTATGCTGGCACTACACGGCCTAATCCTGAGCACAAGCTACTCTTACCTTACAGCTTGGTTCCCTGAACTTTTATAATGCGTTCCAATAATAAAAGATCTAGTTTGACACTCCTCTGTTCCCATCAACTGGCAGATGGATCTAAAATTCTGAACATAATGTAGACTCCCTTGACAAACTTCACTTAAAGTCAGACTCAGTTGTCCAAGGTCAATATGCAGAAGGCGGGGGCTCGAACCATCTTGAAAAACATCCGCTAACACCACTATGGAATAACCAACCTCAATATAAAAAGATCAGGTAAAACGAAGCAAACTAAGTTGACCAGCCACAAGCAAACACACCCGTCCGGCACAGTTTACCTAAGTCCGCAATAATAGATTCACCTACCATTATGTGCGGACGTACAAGAATATAAACATTTTGGACCACGCCGTCCTCTGCCAGTTATCTGTCACTTTGTGTTCGAATGGCTTGCAAGGAGGAAATGCAGCCAACGAGAGACCAACAAGCATGAGAAGCAGTAAAATATGAGCTGCACAGCTAGCGTGGAGACTTGAGTGAATAGCGCCTAGCGTGTGGTTCTGGCCTGAAATTCGTCAATTAAGCCCTGTCTTCCATACCAGCTTTATTCATACTTGGGATTAGGTATTTAACAAATAAATCAGAGGTTCCTCGTGTATCCGTTGTCTCTGGTTGGTTACCGGTACACCTCCCCCTTAGCAGGTTATTTAAAAATTTGGAGACGGAGGATTGGGTGTGTGTGAACAAGACAATATGTCTGTACCCTTTATCGGCACTGGTGTAGAATATCCGAGCATTAAATTCAATAAGATTAATACACCAGAACAGGCTTTACTGACCAATCACAAGCCAGAACCACAAGAGAGGTTGAATTCATCCGAGCCCACCACGCTGGCTGCGCCGCTCATTACATACCACTTCTCATGCATGTCTGTCTCTGGTTGGCTGCCTATCATCCTCGCATGCCATTAAAACGCAGAGAAACACAGGATTGGCTGAGGCCAAATGGTGAAATATGTCTGCGCCCTGATCCGTCGTCACTGTAGAATACCCGAGCCCTAATAGGAAGAAGACTGGTACAACAGAACAGGCTTTATTGACCAATCACAAGCCAGAGTCGCAGGTCAGGCGCCTTCCATCCGAGTCCACCACGCTGGCCACGCCGCTCATTATATTCTGCACCTCAGTTGTGTCCTTCTCTGGTTGGCTGCTTATCTTCCTCGTACGCCATTGGAATGCAGAGGGACACAGGATTGGCTGCGGCCAGGTGGTCCAAAATGTCTCCGCTCTGATCCGACGCCACTGTAGAATACCCGAGCCCTAGTAGGTAAAAGACCGGTACAACAGAACAGGCTTTATTGACCCATCAGAAGCCAGA